CTCGATCACTTGTCTTCCAGTTTCCCAGAGATGGAAGATATGCTGTCATCCAACAGAATCTTCACACAGAGCATTGACTCTGATGTATAAATCTCTAGACTTAGAAAAAAATTAGTAATTTATTCTGTGGTACACAAAATGTTGTTCTATAGGAAGTGATTTCTAATTCTTTCTTTTTAATAAAATCAAAGGAGGACCTAATTTAGCCTGGATGATAAATCATGAGGAATAAATTTGAGTGATACATTACAATGATGTATTTAACCTACAGGTCAAAGGACTTCAAAAAATAAAAGTGACATTACTACCACAATTTCATTCTTTTCACATCTTCACATTCACATGACAAGTATTTTCAGAATTAACATCTATAAAGATGCAAAACACCAATAAAGTTGCCTCATTCTAGCAATAAGTGATATTATCCATGGATACGTAAAATCAAGGAAGGTCCTCATTCTGCTCATTAAGGGATGCATTTAATAATAAAATGTTATGCTATGTATTTAAGAAGTATCACAAACTTATATGCTGGGTCTTTATCCAAAGTTGTAAGCATCTCTGTTGGTACATAAAACACCAACGGGTTTCATGGTATAAACTCCTCGAAGCCATTTATTACCTCTTGCCTTGCCATTGTGCATGGCTGTCCGGACAAAACGTATGCCCTGAGATGCATCAAGGAAACGAGTGAGTTGATGTCCCACTACCTCCTACTCCCATAGGCTACCTACCAGCCTCCTTGCAGCAGTGAAGCCAGGTGCTAACACCTCTTTCTGGCCCTCCCACAGTCAGTAAGGTGAGCTGGAGTGTCCTTGAAGTACACGCTCCTCATTGTAAGTCAGCCTCACAGGTACAGGAGACAGCTGAGGACAGTAAGTCACAGCTCCATCACAGGTCCCTCCCAAGCAGGGGAGTCTGAGTCCTCTGCAAACACTTAGCTGTTATCCTAGGGATGAAAGCAGTTACCCTGAGGCATCAACAATAGAATGAATAGAGCTGTTTATTGGAATTGGACACAGAGGATTTTTCAACTGCATGGAGAACGAAGACAAATAACCCCAGGACTTGTGAGCTGGACTAGGAAGCTACTGAGCCCACATCACTGTAGGGTCTTTAAGTCTGTTTATTAAGTTAAGTAAGTTTATCACATTGTGGGCAACAAACGACCAGCTATGAACCCTTCTAAGGAGAGACAAATGGCCTCCAAATGGCTGAAAACATGAGGAAGACTCTGTAGATTACAATCACTGTGTTCCTGACACTGTGTTCCAATCTCTGTTTTCTCAGTTCCAGAGTTGCTTTGTGCTACTCATCTCTCTGTTGCTACAACTGAAGGCTGATGAGTCACACGTACAGATTCTCTTGTCAGCTGCCTTCTTGTAAGCTTTTCCAGTGGAAGGCACTGATGGAAGTTTCAAGGTGGGAAGAGGACAGATGTCATGTTTTTTCATCTTTGACTGAAAAAACACATCTGGCAGTGGTCGTGGAAGCAGTGGTATCCCCAGCAGCCCAGCCATGGCAGTGTCTGCAGAAGTGGCTGTCACATATGAGCTCCTAGCTTCTTGCTCAGGCAGCTTGGTTCCAACCACCGCAGCCTCAGCTTTACCTGCAGTCGTGAGATCTGGGCAACACCATTTTTCTTTTTCTCTTCCAGTTCTAGGGGTGGTAGTGTCTTCCAGCAATTACAAATCACTGGATATTCTTTGCATTCCCCCTTCTTTTTTGTTTCTTCAGCCCTTCAAACACCTTTATTACCAATTCCTAGATGAAATTCTTCCTGTTCAATACACCTAGAAAGTTTTCTATTTCCTTTATTGGACACTTACTGATAAACACCAGAAAAGAATATTCATAGCTCATAGGATTACAGCCATGAAAATGCATGGCTTGTTGAATTACAAGGGAAAGAGGGAAGCCCCTTCATAGTCAGGACTGTGGGTCACAGTGACAGAGAAAAAATTAAAGTGTCAACAAACTGTAAGTCTCCATTGTTTTACATTTTCTGGACAAATACTCTGGCATCTTCAAAAGCATGTGATCACCACTATTACCAATACTTCAGGAAATTTGCTAATCTATGACCCTTTTGATAACTGACATTACACGATATTTTGTGACACTATATCATTTCAGTCTCATCAGGTGACCTAGTAACTTGATGTACCTAAAGGAAATCAGTTGCATAACTGTTTACTTCTGTCTTCTATGGTGAAACACTACACATTTTTAGTGTTACTATTTTATTTTCATTCATTTTTTCTTCCAGTTTTATTGAGGTATCATTGTCATGCAACACTGGGTAAGTTTAAGGTGTAACAGCATAGTGATTTGACTTACACACATCATGAACTGATGACCACAATAAGTTTAGTGAACATCCGTCATCTCATATAGATAAAACATTAAAGAAATAGAAAAAAAAATTTTTCTTTGTGATGAGAACTCAGGATTCACTCTCTTAACAACTTTGGTATATAACATACAGCAGTGTTAACTGTATTTATCATGTTATACTTTACATCCCTGGTACTTATTTGTCTTATAACTAGAAGTTTGTATCTTTTGACCACCTTCATCCAATTCTCCCTCCCTCTAACATCCACCTCTGGTAGCCACAAATCTGATCTCTTTTCTATGAGCTTGTTTGTTTGCTTTTGAAGTATAATTGACTTAAAACACTGTGTTAGTTCCTGGTATACATGTAGTAGTTCTATATTTCCATACCTTTCAAAATAATCACCATGATAACTGTAGTTGTCATCTGTCACTGTACAGAGATATTAAAAATTATTGACTATATTCCCCCACACTGTACATTTCTAACCTGTGACTCATTTATGTTATAACTAAAAGGTTGTGCCTCATAGAGAACAAACAGGTGGTTGCCAGAGGGGAGGAGAGAAATAGATGAGGGAGATTAGGAGGCACAAACCTCCACTTATGAACCACCACATATTGAGCAAAGACAAAGGGAGTTGGGCTGACGTAGCTGCCCAGTTCCGGTGACATGTTTCCACCCTTGTCCTTTCCTACCTTCAACTTTCATATTTATTATTCAAGTCCTATCCTAAACCTCAATGCCTCTTTTGTACCCAAAACTCCCCACTGTAAGGATTGTCTCCAGCACATGATAGCACATCAGTTTCCTCTAGATTTGTTTCTCAGTAGATTTCATCCTTTCTACTCTTTATCTACCAGGAAATCTTAAACACTTCTAATCAACTGTTGTCACTTTCTTTTTTTCTACCACACTGTTGAGTTTATGGCTTTGTTCTTTTTTTGTTGTTGTTGTTTCAACATTTTCTTTATCTGGGGAGATTTCCAAGGAGGATGAATAGAGATTAAACTCACGCTCAGTCTGTGATCTTGATCCAATCTCAGGTTTTGTATTTAATTTCCTTTGTGTTCAGTTGCTTTGACTGGCACATAACTGAGATGATGATGGGTTTGTGGTGGCAAAAGAAAGTTGTTTTTTTTTTAAAGCAAATATAACTGCCTCGACATTTCCTTTTGACATTTGTTTCTGTGTTGAGAAGCCCTTCTATCCTATGTTTGATGAATGACAAAGATTAAGATAATTCCACAGAAGGGAATTAAAGCAATAGCAGGGAAATAATTCCAGTATTGTGTAAGGAAGAAAACTAATCGAGCTTTCTGTATTGCGGTTTTGACTTTGTTATCAGTAAGCACACCACTAACTGCACATTCCTGATGACTTCCCAAGACCAACAGGGAAGAGGCAACTGATAAGTAACAGCAAAGATTCAAGACGTGGATCAAGACGTAGATCATTCCAACCCCGTGGCCTATGGACTCTTATCAGCTTGGGAGAGTCATTTAATCTTATGCATTTGGTAAATGGAGATACGCTTTTTTTGTTTTACAAGAAAATCCAGGAGCGAAGTACTAGCATGTATGTGCAACACTCAGCACTGTGCCTTATTCAGATTACCTCTTTAACAAGAGCCATAAATCCAGACACTGTCATTCCTCTCCAAATAAGGCACTTTGTGGCGGGGGTGGTGGGAATTAGGTGTGTTTGTGTGTGTGTTTGTCTAATGGAGGTACTGGGGATTGCACTACCACCGAGCTGTACTCTCCCCGCAAATAAGGCGCTTCTGAGTCACCTTCACTTCCTCTTTAGCTTTGCCTCCAATATGATCATTGACGCGCTGCCTCAGTAGGCTCTGCTCCACTGTTTCATAAATTTATCAGCGCACATAGCCTTTAATCGCTCATCCTCTGCTCCACGGGTATGAAATCTGAAGGGACAGTCAGTAAATACACCAGGCCTGATGGTGCAGCACTGCCTTCTTTAATCGAGAAGAGAAGAGCTGCTCAGTTGTTTTGAACGAGTACAAACCTGAGTGAAATTTTCCTTTGGTTTTAGTCACCTTGACCATTGCCCCCAGGAGTGGCGCTTAAAGTCTCCCCCTAGTGGCCAGCGGTATACTGCAAGTGTTCAGTGAGGGCCCAGATTCTACCTGAAATGGTGCCCCCTGCAGGTTCAAACCCTATAGTTGCAGAGCTGATAAACCTGCTAATCTGACTGATTATATTAATTTACCGATGATTGAGCACATAAACTGTGCTTGCACAGGGTAATGAGGAAAGGGAGAAAAATATCAAGCTTGCCCAGCAGTGGGCCCAACAATCAGGTGAAGTGGGGAGGGTATAGCTCAGAGGTAGAGCATGTGGTTAGCATGTATGAGGTCGTGGGTTCAGTCTCCGGGACCTCCATATAAATAAAACCCAATTACCACCCTCACCCCGCAATTTTTTTTAAATTCAGGATAATTTTTTAAAAAGTCCTCTAGGTTATTTTGATCCAAATTATATTTGAGAACCACAACCTTGGAGCATCTCCCATATGCTGGCCAACACAGCTTAATACATTGTTTCCTGGAATATTGGTCCCTAAAATGATTTAAGACAAAAGACTTCTGTAAAAAGTAAGAGAGCTCTACGATCAGACCTTGGGGAGTCGCTCCACCAGGAATGTTCATCGCTCAGATGCCTCATGCTCTCTCTCTCTCACCTCCTTCAGATTTGGGCTGAAATGTTACCTCTTTGGTGAGGACTTTTCTGTCCGTCATAATTTTTTTAAATTGAGGTCCAGTTGATTTACAATATTAGTTTCAGGTGCTGTTTATCCTACTTAAAACCACACCACCACCCTATCTTCTGCCTTATTTTCCTCTATGGTATTTGTCACCTTCTGATACACTTTAAATTTTACTGCTTTATTTAGCTTATTATTTTGCTCCCATGAATAAAACATAAGCTTCAAGAAAACAAAGATTTTTGTCTGCTTTCTTCACTGATGCACCCCTTGGTCAAGAATAGAGCCTGACATGAAACGCATGTTCAACAAGAGGTTCATGCGTGATTGGACATGATTGAGAGAACTGGTCACTGGGAGGACCCAGCCAAAGGATCATGGATGAGGGAAAATGGTTTGGGGCAAGTCTAGGTCGGAGATGATGAGGAAGTGGGAATGGAATTGAAGAGACAATGGATTCCAGGGTCCAAATTCAAGAGAAGAACCATCAGCAAAGAAAAGGGCCCTCCAGTGTAATCTGACTTGCAGTGCATCACATATGTACTCTCTGGGTCCTAGATTTACTGTGCAATTGGGGGGGAAACCCAGAAACGCTGGAGGGTGGAAGCATGTAAACGAGTCCCTTCAATGGTGGAGCAAAGTCTTCTCTCTGAAGGACCCAACAATCCCACTGTCTCTGAATCTCATAGATATATCACTCCCAGGAGAACGTGTATTCCACTGAGGATCGAGATTTCCACACGGCTTATGACAGGAAGGAGACCATAATTATGCCATTTCACTTAAAAGCCAACGTAGGTGGAGAAGAGATGGATCTGGTGAGGGGGTTTCAAAGGGATGAAACATCTTCCTGTTCATGAGTCCTGTTCATTAGTTTGCACATAAATGACCACACTCACAGGAGCACAGACAGACAAGTGGGTTTCACTGAGGTTTAGGGATTTGGGCACAGAGAAGTAGGGAGGACTGGAAAGGATGCTCAGCTTCCTTAGAACAGGTAGGGGTGGCAAGAGAGGACTAGATGATGTCCACATCCCTTCCAGCAGTAACAGAGAGGCTCCACGTCCTTCACGAGGTGCAGTCGGGCAGGGTCAGCAGCTTCCGGCAGGATGCTCAGGCTTAGGGACAGAGCAGTCTCCCAGACTGAGCTCACATTGAGGTATCAGCTGAATCTGAATTTGAGAGAGAGACAAACATGTAGGTCATGATGAGGAAAGAAGATGGTGCTCTGCCCTGGATCCCAGGCCTGATATGATCCAGCCCCAAGGAATTTTTCCAACTTTACTTGGCTAATACTCAGTGCTTCCCAGATGTGTGAGTTTCCTATTGCTGCTTTAATAGATTGCCCTAACCTAAGCAGCTTAACAACATAAAATTATTACCTTATAGTTCCGGAGGTCTGAAGTCTGAACTCAGGGTCACTGGGTTAAAAATCAAGGGTCAGCAGGTCTCTGTTCCTGACAGAGGCTCTAGGGAAGAATTTGTTTCCTTGCTTTTTCCAGCATCTAGAAGCCACCTGCATTCCTTAGCTCACAGCCCCTTCCTCCATCTTCAAAGCCAGCGGTGTGGCCCCTTCCCTCCTCTCTGTCCTCTGCTCCTGTCCTTGCATCTCTCTCTGAACAAGATGCTCCTGCCTCCCTCTTATAAGGTCCCTTGGGATCCATTGGGTGCCTGGATGGAAAACCTTCCATCCTCAGATCCTTAACTTAATCACATCTGCAAAGTCCCTTTACCATGTAAGGTAATGCAGTTGTGGGTTCCGGGGATTAGAACATGCACGTCTTTAGGGGACAATTACTCAGCCTACTAGGCCACACGACAAACTCTAACCAAATGAAAGGACTTAAATAAACTGCAATTCCTTGACCCACTGAGCAAGTTCAGGTACCCTGTTATACACCCTTTCTTCATATAGTAGAAATGGATGAATTCATGGATGGGAATCAAGCTATGGAAAATAAAAAGAACACTGTGCGTTTTCTCATCAGTCAGTCAACAAATCTCCACTTAGGGCCTGGTACAATCTTAGAGGAGAAATCTGACTTTTCTGAGACATAGAAGTGTCTCAGAAGTTATAAAAGTTAGGAAGTTACAAGTTATAAATCATTAAATTAGACTGTGACTTAATCAGCTATTTTCCCACAAATTCAACTCAAGTGAGTGGTCCTGCAATCTTCACTGCACAAGATGGTTCAGAGCCACGTGACTAACCAGGGCTGTCTGCTCAGACCCAAGGACCTCTCCAGAAAGACTCGCTTCCTGATACATTGGCTCCTGCCCATCCATCTTCATTTTCCCTGTCTCTGCCACCCCAGCTCCCTTCATCCAGAGTTGCTGATAGCAGCCCCTTTCCAACTGCAAGCTCGATCCATCTCACACCTGGGCTCAGCTCTCCCAAGGCAGGAAATTGACCTGAAGCTTCCATCCCCATCATCAGTTCAGACTTACCTGATGCTACCATGGATGTTGATCACCTGGTGCCTCCTGGTCTCCATCCCTCATAGACCGGTGTTCTGGGCATGCTGGGGCCAGGTTGATCAGTGTTCCCAGCATCCTCAGGAAGTCTTTTTGCCTTAAGGACCTCAGGCTGATTCACAACACACAGCCCCATGTCAGGGGCTCACCTGCATTCCTCTAATTCTGTGCCCCTGACAGGATGGCAGCATTTCAAAGAAGGGGCAGCAGCCTGATGTCATCTCACCCTTCCCAAGCCTCAACTGTCCCCACGTCTGTGCTCCCACTGTGGGTGGGCAGAGGCATCCCCCACCTACATCAGGTCACGGAGTTTTCCCTCTGGTAAGAGTGACGTGAGGGGCTGTTTGGATTCAGCTTCCTCCTGGTCAAAGGAAGAAGGATGAGACATTCAGGGAAGTGGATGGGAGTTGTCACCTTCAGCAGGTCTGCAGGCCTGAGAGGCTGGAACAGCCAGTGCCCTCACGGTGCGGGGGATCCCACCACCTCCAGCGTCAGACTTGAACAAAAAATAAAGACTCCATTCTGAAACGTTTTCTTCCATCTCCCAGACTGATACCCATGATGCCAGGGGAAGCAACATCTTCATGACGAGGCCAGAATCCCCATCCTTGATGCCCTAGAGGCAGCACCAGACCCTAATGCTCTGTGTACAGGAGCTTGGTGTTTAGTTACTCCCTGAAATAACTTTAATATTCCCCAAGGGGATTGTGTGATGTTTACAGGCTTCTCTTCATACCTGATGTAGCAATCAGAGTACTTGATTATACACAAGAGAAATCAGCTCTAGCTAATGAGGACCGAAAGAGAGACGAATTGGAAGAACATACGGGCGTTCGAGATGTTATGATGATATAATTGTTAGAGCTCAGTGAAAGAAAGGCAAATAATCCAACAAGAAAATGAGTAAAGGATCTGAATAGACATTTCAACAAAGATAGTCTACAAATGGCAAAAAAACCCCAAAACCCAAAACATGAAATAGTCTCAACATCGTCAGTCATCACGGGAAATGCAAACCAAAACCACAGTGAGACACAGCTTCACAAACACCAGGGTGAGAGTAACCAAAAGGATGGAAAACATCAAGTCTTTGTGAGGATGTGGAGAAATGGGGACCTTCAGACGTTGCTGGTGGGAATGTAAAATGTGCTACCGCCATGTAATTCTTCAAAAGCTTAAACATAGAGTTACCATATGACTCAGCAATTCCATTCCTAGGTGTTTATCCAAGAGAATTAAAAACATGTCCACACTAAAACCTGTACATGAACATTCATAGCAGCATTATTCATAAGAGCCCCAAAGTGGAAACAACCCAATTGTCTATCAACTGATAAACAGATTAAAAATACAGGGAGGCACCAGTGACGGTCCATATCTTAAATATTAGTGAGATGTAAAGCTGTACTTTGTTTTTAGTTAAAATAAAAAATTGAAAATTGAAAAAAAATATGGTATAGCCATACAATGAATATCATAAGGAATATGATATAAAACAAATTTGAATTTCATTCCACATTTGAATGAACCCTAGAACATTTTCCTTCACACAGGTAGAATCTTTTAGACTGAAGTGTACAGTGCATATTAACTAATTCCTCATTTCTTGGAGCACTCCTGTGTTTAGCCTTAATTTTGCTCTAAAGATAAATCGATAGATAAAGATACAGATATAGATATATAAAAGTACTATAATTTGACTTTTGAGTATGAGATAATCAAAAGCCCCCCAAAGACTGAGAGATTGGTGATGAAAATTGTGCGGAGGTGACAGCCAAAAAAAATTGAGTACACATATTTTACCACAATACATTTATAGGCAAACTGTACTTCTGCTTTCAAGTTGTCGTGTATTACTTACATAAATGCTTTTCGTTATTCCATTGATTTATTTTTCTATTTGTGAAAATAATTTGCAAATGTTAGTTTGTAATGAAACACATCATAATTTTTCCCACTAAATGTAACAGAAGGGTTTTTAAGAACAAGCTAAAGTTGTTATGCCAGGCATTGTGTCATGGGAATAGTATTCTTTAGAAATTTTGGAAAAAATGAAGAAAAGCTCATAGAAGACGATGGAAGATACAGCCAGCGTTAACTTGTCGAGTCTTTTCCCAGCCATCCAGACACAGGTGTCCTAGGCTGGGACCTTGCTTTGCAGGTGGTGTCATGCTGTGTGCACTGTTTTTGACAAGGCATGACGGCCATCAAGATATGGAAGCAACCTAGGGGGGTGGAGGGTGGGAAGGGATAGACTGGGATTTCAAAATTGTAGAATAGATAAACAAGATTACACTGTATAGCACAGGGAAATATACACAAAATGTTATGATAAATCACAGAGAAAAAAATGTGACAATGAGTGTGTATATGTCCATGAATGACTGAAAAATTGTGCTGAACACACTGGAATTTGACACAACATTGTAAAATGATTATAAATCAATAAAAAATGTTAAAAAAACATGACTGTATAAAGAAGATGTGGTATAAATACACAATGTAATACCACTCAGCCATTAAGAAAAAGGATGAAATAATGCCATTTGCAGCAACATTGGTGGACCTAGAGATTATCATACTAAGTGAAGTAAGTCAGACAGAAAGACAGATATCTCATGATATCACTTATATGTGGAATCTAAAAAACTGATACAAATGAACTTATTTACAAAACAGAAACTCAAACAGAAAAAAACTCACAGAGATAGAAAACAAACTAATGGTTACCAAAGGGGAAGGGAGGAGGGTAAATTGGAAGTTTGGGATTAGCAGATACAAATTACTATGTATAAAATAGATAAACAACAATGTCCTAAGGTATAGCACAGGGGACTATAATCAGTGACTTGTAATAACTTATAATGGGAAAGAATCTGAAAAAGAATATATACAACTGAATCACTATGCTGTACACCAGAAACTAACACAACATTGTAAATCAACTATACTTCAATTAAAAATATATACATTAATATTTTTTAAAAAACAAGGCATGATGGCCTGGTTGCCATCATGATGACTGAGCGGAAGTCTTTTCCTATGTCCTCCGTGTGCAGAATTGAATGAGTATATCAAAGCTTTCTTTGAGAACTTATTTGCTGAGTCCCTGGCTGCTCTTCATCCTTGAGTCCTCCTCAGTGATTCTGTGGATCCTGAAGGGGTTCAAAGAGGAGGTGGATGCCCTTCCAGCTGAGCAGAAAGCAGCCATAGCCGGCATGGTGGTGAGTCCCTCTGTCTCCGCTCTTCTGCTCTCCTCACGTTGTGAGACAGGGCTCAGTCCTGGACAGAACATCCCCAGGGGGAACTGACAGATGTCAGCTTCACTGTACACTGTCAACATGCAGCTGGTGCCCAGTGTGAGAATCTGACCATTAGGTTCTCCCCCTGATTAGTGGCGATCCCTACACCCAGAGTCACAGGAGGCCCCAAATGTCCCCTGGCTGCATGGGGTCCCTTAGTAAATAATACAAATAATACAACACCATGTTTAGCCCTGATGTACTCCACGGCTCCCTTTCTTGGCCAAATCCCAGAACATCCATGCTGTGTACACTGGCTGTGTCCCCACCTCCCCGCTAGATCTCTCCCCGCCCACCAGGAACCCGGCGAAGGAAGTGAGCCGGGACAGCTGGAAGGCAGACGTGCAGTGGTCCTGACGCACCGGCCACCGCTCCTCACCCAGCCTTGGAGACGCAGCAGTTTGCTTCTCGGATGAGACTTCTCCAGATGGGCTGTGCGGAGAAACTATGCCTCGGAGGCCCCCACGGGATAGAGGAAGGTGACAGAATTCCTCACACCTGTTTCCCATTCGTCAGAATCCACCCCAGGAAAACTTCAATTCCCACTTCCTGGCTGTGTCTGCCCAGCCCCGTGGGTGATGCAGGGGGGCGGCAGAGGCCTGGGTGAGCCAAAGTAGCCTCAGTTGAGAGCCCAACACCAACAGGGCAAGACTGGGCAGTCGCCAGTGGCATCTGAAATGTCTGGGTGCCAACATGAGGCAATGGAGGGCCTCCCCTTACCTTCCTCATGTCTGGGCAGAGGCAGCAGAGCTGACCTAGAGCAACATCTTTGGAGTCAAAAGATTCCGATCTGACTGCACACCTTGCATGACCTTGGACAATGACTTTGAGTCTCACTTTCCATAAGCTTAAAAAAAGATGACAGTAATTCCACCACCACCCCACCCCCCGGCTCAGAGAGCAGATGTGGTTTAAGGGCACAGCCAACGCAAAGACCTTGCATGGTGCCTCGCACGCAGTAGGTGCTTTGTATTTGACAGTTATTATCTGTATTCCCAAACGGTTCCCTGGGAAGCAGTTAGATGGGGCTGGATGACAAACTCCACGTTCTTCGCCCTGACCCAGTAAGAGTTTACTGCCATGTTGTGTTCTCTGCCTATGTTTCAGCAAAACATGAGACACAACTGCTGAGGAGCCAGTGGTACCTGGTCCTCAGGACAGCAGTGCAGGAGAACGCTCTTCCCGGCGGAGGCCTCTGGCTGGGCAAGTGTGGGAACATGTTCCTTCTTCCACGAGCACCACCATCTTCATCTGGACCCGCTCCACTGCCACTTTTTCAAGGCTTCTCTCAATAAAAACACTAAACACACTGCAGCTGGAGGGGAGGGTATAGCTCAGTGGTAGAGCACTAGCATGTATGAGGTCCTGGGTTCAAGGCCCAGTACCTCCATTAAAAAAAATTAAAAATTTATAAAATAAAAGATAAATAAACCTATTCCCTCCTCCCTCAACAAAACAAAACAAAACAAAACAAAACAAAACAAAACACTGCAGTTGCCTTCAAGGTGAGGGTCTTCCCTGCTGGGGTCTGACAAAAGGAAGAGTATTTAGCATTTACATTTAGGCTATGATCCATCATGCACCACTCCGACATATGGTGTACTGAGTAGGGTTGGAGATTTTTTAAATATATTCAGTTGTTCGAAAACAATTTGTTGAAAACAATTATCCTTTCTACACTGAACTGTCTTTCTACCTTTGTCAAAAACCAAGTGACCATAC